CAATCAAAATGCACGAAGGCACAAGTCAACCAATCGCAATTGTTGAATCAGGAAGCCATTCGAGAGAAATAGTATTGAACCAATCAAAGTGCACGAAGGCGCAAGTCAACCAATCCCAATGTTTGAATCAGGAAGCCATTCGAGAGAAATGGAATTGAATCAATCAAAATGCACGAAGGCATAAGTCCCCTAATTATGATTGTTGAATTAGGAAGCCACTTGAGAGTTGCTTTTATTCCTGTGACAACCTCTGTCTTTTTTTTGCTGTAGATTTAAAGAAACAGCACACAGAACTACAGGCATCTCATGCAGACACAATCAACGAGTTAGAGAAAACGAGGAATATGCTCATCATCCAACACAAGATTAACAAAGACTACAAGACAGAGGTATACTCTGCGCTGCTATGCACTACCTATAGGGAAAAAATTGAACTGTTGGAGTGTTTATTAGAATATAGTGAAAAACACGCGAATGAAAGATATAAACACTTGTGCACTTCATGGGATGGCGCACACAAGTAGTTTTTCCATGCGCACCGTCGTCTTACGCTAGCGTCTTTGTCATTATGTCACGCACACCGCTTTTTCATGTCCTGGTACGAATCTTATTTTGGAAGACGACATTGAGCACATAATGTGTGTTTATGCTCTTGTCATGATTAGAGCAAGTCGGCTCAGTTCTTAGATCTCTCCATTATTTGTTTTTAAAACGTTTGTCTTCTCAATATTCAACTTCATTTATCAGCTCCCTTCTACCAAACATCTTGAATACTTCAACATTTGTCAACACAAAAGACTAGGGCACTTTATGTGTTTATATTCAAGCACGTATAAAATGATGCACTTTTTATACACCAAGACTTGTGATATGAAAAAGATTAAGAAGGAATATTCCTGTGAAGTGTGAGATAAATTCAAGGAGAATATGATAAACTATGCTATTATAAAGTTTCTGTGCTTTGGTACTTTACATTCTACAGTTGAGATCGCGCGTAGTATATCGAATATCTTATAGCATGGCCTTGAAATATATCAAGGTTGTTTCAGTCATCCATAGCCTTGCTCATATATGTATGTTTTTATATGTACATTCATTCTATTCAATTTATGTGCCAGGTGGATCGAGTAACCAAGAAAATGATAGAAGACAAGAAAGAATACGACCTGAAGATGCAAGAGTTTGCTCAATTACTTGACATTCGTGCTGATAGAATACGGGTGAGCGGCATTATATGACCAAGTCATTGCAATCTTTCACTGCCCCAGCCCCTGTTCTTCAAAACTACCTTAAGCATATGAGACCCTGTTAACATAAAGGTAGAGCTACTGATGTTTGAAAGACGTCGTTGAGGAACCCCCAAAACGAGAAACCCGACAGTACTCAGTATCTTCAAGGCACTTCAATCCTCATGTTGCGCCCCTTTTTCCCTTTGCGTCATGGGGACGAAAAAGGCAAGAGAGTAAGTGACTCTACCTTCATGTTCAAGGCCTTATTGAGAAAATCTTTTTCCTCTCTAACTTTTGCAGAAATTAGAAGCCCAAATGCGAGATATTGCATATGGTACAAAACGATACAAAGCTCTAGCATCCGAGGTATGACATCTTTTACGAGCAGGAGATATTGCATTTGTCGCATGTTGTCATGAGTTTCTTTGGTGTAGAATAAACCGACTAGAGGACTATTAAATTAAGTGTAGTCTTTAGAGTCTTTTGCACTGGCGAATCTTAAGGAGGGGTACGGGTTGTGCGGATCTCACTCCCCCCCCCCCCCCCCNCCCCCCCCCCCCCCCCCTTCCTCCCCCCTCCTTAAGACCTAAGACCTTTTCTATTGCTTTCTGTTATTACAGGAGTCGGAGTATGATGAGATGGATAGCACCCTTGAACTTGAGAGAGGACAAAATGTATTTGAGATCCATATAGACAAGGTATAAGTTAGAACACTGAATTTCGTTACACTTGCATTGATTGAGCATGGAATTTTCCTTACTGTACAGAAAAATGTTTATAAGATATCAATATTAAAAGGCCTATCAATCGCATTGCAATAAAGTAGTAACGTCAAGAATCTCAGTAGGATTTTATAGGTTATTATGAATCTCGCGTTCTGATTGGATTGGAGCGCGTGCTTTATGAAAGCACACAGCACGCTTGCACACTTTTCATTTTGTCATTCGTATTTAAAATAACGGTTATTCTAATCTGTATTTTATAAGAGAAATTTAGAAAATGCTTGCTGTACTGTATTTACTTATGAAGCACTTGGGGATTAGCAAAACACTCGAGAAGTGTTGAGAAGCACTTCTTTACGCGTCGTGCTTGTCCTGTTCTGCCAATCCCTGCGTGTTTTACCTGCGCCAAGCACGCGTGTGCGTTTTCTATTTCTTCATCAATAGGTTTTCTCAAATTACATTACGACTTTGTGTAAAARATGAAAAGGAGAAAAGGTTTTAAAAAAGAACTGGCAAATTTCGTTGCAGTTGTTATTCTAAATGCATTTATGCAATCTGTGTGCAATTTGTTAAGTGCGCGGTTTGATTGCATTGCATAAATAATGGATACATCAGTTAACAATGCTTGGTCAAAGAGGCACTCCTATCTTCACTCTGTAGGTGGCAGAAGGCCTCTCGCAAGCATAATGACAAGCACCGTCGGTAGTGAGAACAAGGCTTTATAAAAAAGAATCATTAAAGAAAACGAGTCCCTGATATACCCACGGTATGGTACACTATCATTTAGCTTATTATTTAACCATTTTTTGTGTGTGTATTTTTAGGTGTCTCTAACAGAAGCGTCCTCAGCTGAATTTGGAGATGCAGAACCAGTCATATTCGTTACCTACGAGTTTTTCGAGCACGAGTTGCAGGCCACTCCCGTCATGCGAGGATCAAGGTATATATTAATATCATTTACCAGGGGCTTTCCTGCTCGGACGAAATGCCATGTATATGGTCTGTGCTCTAACGCGCATTTAGTGTATTATGTATTATGACGAAAAGGTGTTATAGAAGTACTATATAGAAGTATTGCTGATGCAATGTTATGAATTATAGTTGTGGTATGGCTTAAAAATCTGCTTAAGCATGCAACATTGCGCAAACTACTGTAGCCATGTGTTGCCTTGATTGGGTCAGTCTTACGAATAACTCTTTAATCAAAAGCATGATGGTCCTAGATAGTTCCTCTCAATGTGGTTGGGTAAGAGTCAGGAAGGGGTGTGGGGTTGTTCCTAGTGGGATCATGAAAATTATGATGATTTCCGGCCGGTTTCTTTCAATGTTTTTTTCCCTTCTGATTTTACTCTTATGCGCAATCAAACTGTATCCCCCAAACTTAGCATTTTTTTATTTTTTATTTTAAATCTTAAAATGTTATAAAGATTGTTTTAATATTCATATTTTCTATCTCCAGTGCGCGGTTTAACTTCACTTCTCAATATCTGGTACAAGTGGACGACTTCTTTCTACATTTCTTACAAAAGGTATGACTACAGGTTTGGGTGGCATAGGTAGAATGCCCTGCTGCGGCTGTGTCTCTCACCACTGTGTAGTCTAATCCCGGGGCTGCTGGTTCGATTCTTGAATGAACCGCATATGTGAATTCAATTTAAAGCGGAGCGTGAGGTAGACTTCGCAGAAAATGCAAGAGCTCGTTTACTTTTAAGAAGTCTAAAGAAAGTCAGTTTAAATGAGTTCTATTTTTTTTCGCTTTCCTACGCAGATTGTAACTAAAATTGTTGTTCTCAAGTTTTCCCGTATTTATACAATAATGCTTTTCTATTCACATAAACAGGAGTCTACGCTAGTAGAACTTCACCGTGCATTTGGTACGGACTATAAAACCATCGGTGCTTGTCAGCTGAAGTTTAGAGAGTTGTTAGAGAAGTCCCACGGCCGTCTGCATGGAACCGTTAAACTGATAGGTAAAGTAGGACATTTCTAATCCAATGTCGTAAGATGCCTTCTCGATTGTGCGGTGATTTATGAGTATTTGTGATATTGTTTGGTGTTGTTGCATTTACTCACGAAATGAATGCAACTGCCGCTGATGTTGTTACTGACAATGCTGCTGTTGCTAGTCCTGCTGATGTTGTTGGTGATGAAGGTGATGACAATGCTGCTGTTGCTACTTCTGCTGATGTTGTTGATGATGAAGGTGATGACGATGCTGCTGTTGCTACTTCTGCTGATGTTGTTGGTGATGAAGGTGATGACGATGCTGCTGTTGCTACTTCTGCTGATGATAATAATCTAGCTTTTACTGCTTTTTTTGTTGTTGGTACTGACGATACTGATGATGATGATGGGAATGATGAAGCTGTCAGTGTTGTTGCTGCTGTTGCTGTTGTTGTTGTTGATGAGAAGGATTAGAAATGATGTTGATACCGATGTTGTGGTGGCAGTGTTGATGTTGTAATCTTGTTGTTATGGTTGTGATATCACTTATGGTCATTGCCTTTGATTAGGTTTGTTATTGATGAGGATCACATCTTGACTAATACCCTTTGATGCAATAGGTACTGTTCCTTCATGTGAAGGTGTAGACATCGCAGTCATGGAGTACTGGATCAGGTTAAGAGTACCAATGGACCAGGCTATCAGATTATTCAGGGTAAGATTCTTCATTAATTCCAAATGAACAATGTTTTTGCGTGTCGTGATTGGCTGATAGGATGTCATCCATTCCATGCCAGTACAGCACCACTTCTCAATTTCAGTGCCGTAGCTTTATTGAGCTCAAATATAGCAGATTTGTTAACCATTTACTGCCCAGAATTGACGTCATGGGCTAAATCAATCAAGGCGTAGGTTATTGCTCATTCAGCGATAAAGGTCGGGCATAGCACCGTCATGGTCACGGCATAGAAGTGTTTTACTATCATGCGACATCTGCCCTGCATTTAAAAAGTTGCACGATGTATGTTGCTAACAGAATATGTTTGTTCCATCAGGAGCGTACTAAAGCGCTTGGTTATATGGGTTCGAGTGACTACACGGCCCTAGAGGATGCTGGTCATCCTCGGAAGGCACCCTCTGACGTCAACGAGTTGGACATCCAGGTGATTAAATGCTCCACTCTAAAGGCAAGACAGGAAGGTAACGATTGCAAGAACCCTTTAGCTAGGTGGCCATTAGATCCTTTAAGGTACGACGTATTTCCGGATCCAAATGCTCAAATAAGGCGCCGAGATCAAGCAATAAATGTTCTCCATGAACATTTGAAACAATTAGAACTTTTAAACAACAAATTCATACGATTGACATCACGCTTAAAGGATTTAGAAATGCCACTTTTTCGTCTACCCAACATTGTTGATGGTTATCTAAAGTAGTTATCTGATTTCCACATCCTTTCTGTATGGATTCGCCTCACTTTGCATTGGATTGTAATGTCATGTATTTTATCATCATTCTCAGGTATTCAACCAAACCCTTACTGTGTATATAAGTTTTATGACTTCGGAGATCACGACACTAGAATTATTCACAATTCTAACGAACCTGTCTTTAACGACGTTAAAACCTTTACCGTACCAATGACAGAAGATCTGGACTCTTATCTTAGATCTAAGGTAGGTTAGATTGAAGGATAGTTTGTCTTCCAATATCGCCATCACTACTTCAGCTTTTCTCTGCAATATTTTGTCATATATATCAATGAACAAGGTAGAAGTTCAGTAAGTTTTCACTGCCACCAAGTGTAAAATGCCATTGCTGCCCTGCAAAAAAATACCAGTCAATAGCGATGGTTAAACAGTTGTCTTTAACATTTATGTGACAGATGCTTGAGATCTTCGTTTTTGATGATGCTGATCCTGATATGAACTCCTATCTGGGGGTAGCCAGGGTATCGATGATTTCCCTTGCTAATGACAAACCGATCAAAGGAACCTTTGAAATACACAAGGTAATCAGTCATGTTCATTTTATCCCTCGTTAGAAAGTGTTAATGCAATAGACCTAATCCACTGTTTTCCCATTTCAGATCACGTGTCATTCCTTAGAGTATTTTTCCTCCGTTAAACGGTTGCACATGAGAAGAACCGTGAATATGCATACCACTCAAACAAAGAATCTTATTCTCAACAGAGTGACACGTGGCCTGAAATGGGCAAAACATTGTGCCCAAGTGGATGAGGTCCTCGCATTCATTGAATGGTGTTATTTTCTTACAGCCAACAGGTGAAGCAAATGGTTGCATAGACGTGTGGCTCAAGTGGAGATACACTTATCTTCCAGCAAGTGCGAAACCACGTCCACCACAACAGGTTAACCGATTATCCCTCTTCACCTTGTCTTTGTCAAACTCGTTCTTTTCCTTTTCCTTCCCACTTAAAGATTAACTATACTCAACATGTATAAAATTATCCTTCAGCGACTGATGACGGTACCCAAGGACGAAGAAGAGTCACCTGAATACGACATGGGCGTGGCAGATGGTCGTGTAGGCCAGGTGACGTCTGTTGATAGCATACACTCTAAGCCTCCTATTGGCTCATCTACTCCGAAGAGACTTGATTCAGGAACAGGAATAACTAAAGAGGAAGTTGATTTAAAACCAATGCCTCCGAAAAGAAAAAAAGAAATCGCTGAATCACAAGATGGAAACAAGCAACCAAGGTAATTGTCTTTCTCAGCGGGGTTTTTATCAGATGCCATTGAGATAAAAATAGTGATGCGAGGGAATGGTGGTCTAAGATAACAAAAGGTTTTTTGTCGGCCTTCACAACCACTATAGAGGCTTTGCACCATCACGTGATGGGAGCAATGACAGGAGGCACAAAAATTGAATCTTGTCTAATCTCTATACATTCAACAAAGTGATAATTCAGACGATTGGGAACGTCATGGACGTTTAGATTTTTTTTAAATGTAAAGTTATTTTACATTGAACATAGAACTTTTCTGAGATAGCGAACATACAATACAATATAAGGCAACATGAACTAAAGATGTTGGTGCAACTTTTTTGCACATACATAAAAATACTATTGATTTGGCTTCTTCCTTCCCAATCCATCCTAATCCACCTCCATTCCTACTAATCCACCTCCATTCCTACTAATCCACCTCCATCCCTCCCTAAAAAAGGTGGTAAATCCCCCACCAGATTTGTTAATATAATGATTGCGAAAAAGTAACTAAAAAGTAAAAATACGATTTAAAATAGAGAAAGCTAAACCTAAAAAGTAAAGCAATAACATAAGATTCAATCCCGCGAGTATACTAAGACTTCAAGCGTAACGTGCACGTCTTATTTCGCATCTAATTTAATGTATTTCTATTTTTTCTATTTCCCACCTTCACAAGGCCAAGACCTGAAAAACCTGTTGAGGACACTGAGCCAGTAGAAGCAGAAAAACCCAAGCCAATCCCGCGCGCTAGAAAACCCTCCCACACCATTGAAACGAAAGAGAAGGAAAAACCAATCGAGGAGATGAACGTGGATGAGTTGATCAAAGCTGCCAGCGAACCACCACCCCCTGCCAAACAACAACCACATGAGTTCGACACGGAATCTGAAGAATCTGAGATTGATGAGGAAATCTATGAAGAAGATGAAGATAAAGGACAAGCCGACGAAGAGGTAAATTTATCTAGTTATATAATCTGAGAATCGACTTCTTGTTATCGCATTCTTCCGCATTCTTGTTATCGCTCTTTTAACAAAGGCAACCCGCGTGGTGGAAAAAACTCGCTTCTACGTTAGTTTGTTGAACGTGTTCATGCGCATAGAATGAGGCAGAATAACTTCCTTGTCTCACTGAKTTTTTTCCTTAGTCGACTGCGCTGTATTTTCGTACTTTTTTTTAAACAAAAAAAGAGAGCAAGCTTATGACGCCATGTGTAAGAAACAAAAACGCGATACTGGCTCCCATAAACAAAATAAAGCTACCTGTCCTTACATTTTGTTTACTTGCTTGCTTGCTTATTTCTTTATTTCCAGCTGAATATTTACCGGTTTCCCCCGCTGAATGTATACACTTATTTCAGAAAACGTTGTTGGTTAGAAATCTGAAATCTGAGAACGACTCGGAGTAGCACGCTGCAAATTGTAATATCTTCACAGACGAACAACGTAGTTTCATTTGAGATTGTAATATGAGGCATGGCACAAAACACAACAATTCTATTTAGTCTCAGATCGCCCATTTCATATCTCAGACCGACAAAGTGTTTTTCAAATAGGTTCAAGAATAATGAGGAAATTATGTTGTTCTGTAACACTTGTTTTTTCTTCTGGGGATACGAGTCTTATGTCCAGAAACGCCCAAAGAGTGTTAAGAACACGGCAAAAGTTTTCCGATGAGATATTTCGTATCAACAGTGTTGTAAAGAAAGACTCGTAACACCCTCGTAGTGCGCAGGATAGCGGTACTGAATTCGAGGACAGCAGATGGCGGCGCTTTCCTCAATATCATAACGTGATGTTTCGCAAGGTCTTCATCACTCTTCCTCTAAACTTAAAAGAATTTTTAAATTCTTGTTGATAGAGCGATGAAACACGAGTTGCGGAAGAGATGCGTCGCACTGCTGAACGTGATGGTGAGGACACTTTGTTTGAGGAACAACAGTCAGGTATGTTCATCCTTTTTCCGTCAAATACTAGCGTCTTCGTCTATAAGCCATCGTATTTTGAATACTTTCAATATTTCTTTCTTATTCAAAACTTGTCATCGCTAATCACCACCGCAAAAGAGAGCAATGGCCCAGCTCAACGAGGTCCAACTGAAAGTATGTGAAGGCACCTCTTGCAGCCGTTATGCAGTCTATGTATGACCCCGGAGCACAGCTCTAACCAGTTTGAATTAGTTGAGTAGGGTTGATTTCTTATTCATACGCAGACTCCTCGATTGGTGAAGAGGTAGATATTCCAGTACCTTCTAATCAACAAGAGGAATCTGGAGCTGAGACCAGTGAAAGTGAGGGATTAGTAGTAACACCATCACCTTCTAGAACAGGTCACGTTATGGCGGTAAGGAAACCAACAAACAATGGTAACACTATAATATTCAGTGCGCACTTTCAGAATGACAAAATACTTTAAGTGCCAGACATTTCTGGATCAGTAATAGGCGCTCTTGTCCGCTAAATGCGAGTGTCGCTGTAAAGTATTGATAAATGCGCATTAACATGATTAGATATAAAAGAAAAATACCATTTAAAACATATTTTAGAAATCAAGTTAAGAAATGGTCTTAATATTTAGTATGAGTCGAGAACTCAATGAATGCACGTTTAGTACCATACATTTACTTACGACACAAAAAGTTTAAAAAATAAAATAAAATGAATATTTCTAAATTCCAATTCGACCATGAAAAGAGGACCACAGCTTTGTTGGAAACATGTGGCGCGCATCCTGATTAGGTTAGCTTGCATTCCATCTAATTATGAATGCATGTTGCGCGATGTGATTAAGCAATCAGAACATGCATGCGCTACCCTGTAGTCAAAGATAAATTATTAACTGATATAAATGGTTTTGCTTTATTCTAGTCATCACAAACTATCACCATACAGATCACCAGTCTTACCCTCGATGAGTCTCCCATACTACGAAATAATGCCATCAAGCAACTGTTCGTAAGCTACAGCTTCCTTGACTGTGACCCAGCTGAACTAGAGACCCCGATGTCTCTGCAAAAACCAAAATCACCGCATAAATCCATTTATTATAATTTTAAAAAAGGTGAGTTCAGGTTGTTTTTTCCTTTCTTTCAGAATCGCTCCTTTTACCTCAAATGTAGGAGTAGTCGATTTAACTTGACACTAAACATGAAGTCACTTTAGGCAATATTTCTTGCAAAAGAAAAATACTTGAAATATATATAAAAAGCTATATGATGTAACATTCAACAAACAACAAACAACTAGGCTGAAAATGGACATAATAAGAGTTTAGTATAATTATATTTACCTAGTGGTGACCCGTTTTTAGTTTAACAGTAATGATGAAAAGGTAAATTATACACCGTGAAAAGATGAAAAAACTTACTAAGTTAAGTTTAGTAAGTTTTTTCATCTTTTCACGGTGTATAATTTACCTTTTCATCATTACTGTTTCATTAGAAACACCGACGCAGCTCACACTAGTTTTTAGCTAGTTATATCGTTTTTAGTTTATGAGATTAGAGCAGCGTGCGCAGAGCAGGTCTTCCTTTATTAACAACACACATCTTTTTTCAGTTTTTCATGTGGACGCAGAGACAAATCCTGTTAAGAGGAATTATCTTAAATATATGTTAACATCTGAAAGCCCCACAGAGGGAAGGTAATTATACAAACACAAACTTATACAGACATACGAAATTTTCTAGTACTTACTCAGTTACTGCCCATTATGCCTGCTGGCATGTAGACCAGCAACAAAGGATGAACATTCTGTCTGTCCTGGGCCAATTTCTGCACTGCACTGCACTGCACTGCACTGCACTGCACAGTGCAAAGTTTCTAGTAGTATGTCCTTATAAGCTACAGTTTACATATGTTATCTCAAATCTTCTAAATTATCTCATCTCTCATCTCTCATCTCTCATCTCTCATCTCTCATCTCTCGCAAACCGTCCCGGGTTCGATTCCCAAACCAGGTATCGTATATGAGTAAACAAGGTTGCTTGTCGATTCTATCCTGTTCTTTAATATTCTTGCTTCTGGAACTACTTTGTGGAAATGACGATGCTAAACTATATGATTTATTTTGATTTTTAATCCAAATGTGTTTCGCTCGCATAAGCATAGAAAGTCAAAGTAACCTTGCCCAATTGGTTTGCTTTCCTAGGGTTGTATTTACTGTAGTAAGTGAGCCAACTGATCCAGAGGATGGTGACTGTATGGACGTGGCCTACGCTCATGTAGATTTACTAAAGGTACTCTAAGACATTGCAGAATCAATCTTGTTGAATAAATATTTCCAGCCGCTATGCATGAAGCATGATAAAATAGACTTGCAAATATCCGGCTATTTTTCAGTATCAGAACTGACTTCCACAAGACAGCGCTTTTGGTTTGATTAATATATATTTAAACGTCGGTAGGCAGATCTTGTAAGAAGCAGAAAAGCATTCTTTGTCTGATATAACTGTGCAAAAACATTGAGGAAATAGGCGCGCAAATGCTAGATGTTCTTTTATAACTAATTGTCAAAATTTGATGGACGAAAAGCATAACGACGACAGCCAGAAACATGAAAATTGCTATCAATCATAAGTGAGTATATTTGTTGCACTGCTGGATTCTGTCTTTTTGATATGGAAAACAGAGATATCATGAACACTGATGTCTATTTGTGCTGTTTTACTGATGACCATAATCATTAATAGATATTTATCAGCTATCATTTCCATTGTAGATTCTTCAAGATGGAAAAGATGTGATTGATCAAGATATTGAGCGTAAGTGATTGCGAGTTCAGCAATGCAGGACTCAGGTCGTCAGTACAACAAAGAATTGCCTGTCAAATCCTTACCTTTCAGATCCTTAGGCAATCCCCCCTCCTACAGTATCCTGATAGAAAGAATAACGGCCAAATATRTAGACTTTTATTTTCTGACTGACACCTCGTTTGCAACCCAGAAAGACAGGGATGCTTTGCGCATTGAAACATTGCTTGCATGTAGGTTTTTTTTAGAAGATACGGCTTCAGAATTCAAACGTTTTCGAATGACAATTTTCAGCTTGCTTTGGTCAACTCTAGATTATCTAGATTTAACTGCACATCAAAATTGACCAATCAGGAGAGTTTTAATGATTTGGTGGATATCGAGACACGATTTAACTCACCATTTGTGAAGGAAGAGCACGTTTCATCATGTTCTCCTTATTGGCATTTTTGGCAATACAAACATATTATACTTTTTAAAGGGTAGTTTCTTTGATATTCTCTGTTCCCCTCTAACTTGGAGATGATATTCCTTGTCATTCACTTCTTAAACTCATTGTTTATTTTCCTGTAGTTATTGACATGACCGGCGAAAATGGAGAAATTGGTTCCCTTACAGTCACGGTACTGGCTTGTGAAGCATTGCGCAGCCTATACGATGACGAGGACTAACTGACAGTGGCCAAGTGAGAAATTATCTTACTAGCTGTTCTATGCACAATGCTCACAGACGAAAGATTCTACAGGGCGCGGAAGGCTTTTCATGTTTTATAGACGTACGATCCCGCGATATATCAGATAGTCAGGCATTGGGATTGGATGCAATCGTCTGCGTGCTCTTTGAATGAATCGATGCAATCGCATTCGAAATATGCTGAAAAATCCCTACCCAGTTGTAGTAACTATTTGAAATGAAGGGATGAAAAAAAAAACTTTCTATTTATAGTAATATACATACGCACATTATACATACTTAACCAATTTGTTCCAGTTTTTCGTGGTATATCCTCTTATTTACCACGATTTTAATCATAGCCTCGTGAGTTCACAGAATATTTTGACTGCTGGAGGACGAAAAAAGTGGTAAATAAAAGAACATACCAAGGAAAACTGGAGGAAATTGGTTTCTTTTTTTACCACAAAAGATCAAAACTTCTTCTACAAAAACAAGTTTAAAATTTGAAAGAAAAACGGGGTTTCAAGCGCGCGCGTGATTTGCTGACGTAATTTAACGGTATGTCTTATTTCCCCCTTCTCTAGACTCGGAAAGCGAGAAAATTCCAAATAGTGGTAAATATTCCCATATTTGATGTTTTATTAGCTCAGCTCAAGCATGTTTGGATAGAGTTTGCCAAATGGGGCCTTTATCACATTAGTCAAACATGTTTATTCATATTTATTTGTTAAACTTAGTACGCCATTATAAATTCAAACCGTTTGATTGTGTACAAAAGAAACTTTAATAACGACCATATAGTGTATCTTAGTTGAAAATACTTAAACTTTTAGCTAGATTAAAAATGCGATCTCGAGATCTGCTTCTAAATTCGACGTTTGCATGACATGACTCAAATTGTTCAAAAGACCTTCTAGATGATTCATAACCGCAAAGTCTGAGGATTTATCTGTTTGCCGTCATGACGCCGCTCAGATCCGCTGTTAAAGGAATAGTTAGCGTGCGTATAACATTGTTTAGATGCACCGGCGATAGTTGGGCCACGAGGGTAGCATATCAGGTTAAAGCACAGGCTGTACAATCATTCTGCATGCTCGCCTTTGCGTCAGCCACTGACAGCACGCGTCAGATCCCAGCTATCTTGATTTGACAGCTTTTTATATTTTTACATTACTTTTTATAATTTACGATATGCAATATGTTGCCGGATCAGAGTGCTTATATGTCATAGCTATCTTGTAGTCTTAACAAACGAAGAGAAAATATAAAACTAGGAAAACAAAACCAACTTAACATTACTAACACACTAGTACAAATAGTAAGACGGCTCAGCAYATTAGGATGTTATGTGCGTTTCTTCCGTCACGTACTCGTTGTCGATGTTGCTGTATTGTCTTCTTTTTGATACCTTAGTGACAACTAGTATGACTACAGCTATAACAACGAATACTCCAACCACGATTCCTGCGACTAGCCCTGGGGTCATTCCCTTTGAAGCTGACTCGGTGTTGAACGCTCCTGACTCTTGTGCCTGTAAAAGCCAACACGTAAAACRGTAAATGAACCACTCATTTGTTGTAATTTTCTGGTTTGAAATTGACCTCGTGCACTACCAACCTATATCCCGGCCGTGCGCGCGCAATGGCTAGGTTAATCAATGTGACCTAGTTCAAATGCCTTGAAGTCGTTAAACCTAAATGTGCGTTCTCCCAGAAGGTTAAGTTAAAGAAAATAAGCACTCGACGTTTTGGTTAGGACCAATAGTCAAATTCATGTCACTAAATTCTTAGTCCAAATCAGTTTGTTTTTGTTACTTGTCATTTCGTTCACACCTATAATCTAATGTGCAAGGATACGGTTGTTCATGATCATTTAACAGTATCCCCTTCCATAAAGAATCGTTTAACACTTAACGGACTATTTGGGTAAACATAATAAGTGCATGGTTGTACCTTCTTTTTTCTAGTTAATTTAACGTTCCGAGTTTTTGGGTGAGGTGCGCAATCTTTCACTTTGCTCTCAGTATGTATAACGTAGTGTAGTCAGGAGGATATAATCATTGTATATTAATACCTTGTTTTCTCGGACCTCATTTTTGAAGTTGGAGAACAATGGGTGTGCGTTATCACCCCACATCTGTCTATCCCGCGTTAGGAGATCTGTATCATTACAGCTGGAAACCAAAAGCCCATCCTTACCGACTGCGTACCGATCATACTCGTGAATCACCAAGTCATAGACCGGAATTTTGTCGCTACTCGACAAAGACATGAGCTGTAATGCAGGAAGTTTTTCTTTTAGCTTGGTTGAACTTCCTTTGATTGCGTGCAGCGTGTGTTTAGTCGAAATGTTCTCAGCTGCTATCCACTTGTTTTCGTTCTGCGAGAAGAACGGGTGGTTGTAGGTAGTCCAGATGTCCTCACCATGTGTGCGCAGTACTACCATCTCGTGGAGAGAGACGTTTTTCTGTACGACTGCATCTACTTTCCTGTTGGAACAACAAAGGAAGTGGTTCTTTATCATACTAACTAAGGCTACTATCAGTATTCGTGCATCGTACTAAAGCTAACATTTGTTGAGATAAGTGCATTCTGCAAAAGAAAAGCGAGCTCACACTACTGTGATGGAAAAATGAAGATTGGTGTTGCTGATCACCGTGATCATAGCGTTAGTGATAGTAATAGTGATGTAAAATGCGTAGTTTGCACAACGTGACAGCATCCATACCTCAAGTAAGTCGCGCTAGGATCGTCTCCTTCATGTCGTGTGACAACCATGTCTCCTTTTCGCACCTCTCGTATTGGAACCAGTCCCCTCGCTGTGTGAACGAGTGTGTCTCCACGGAAACACGACTTGATAAGACAGCAACTGTGGTGCCATCTTTCTCTACATTGTATTTTAGCTGGGTTAGAACAATCACAAGTTTCTGGTGGACAGCACTTTGGACATCTGATGGCATCGCACTCCGCTCCAACATAAGGCGCTCTGCACACACACCTTGGGATATAAGAATAGAGAAATCATTTTCTTGATGCAAGTTTTCAATTTCTACGAGTATGCACTTTTCATAAGTTGATTAGATTTTTATGGAATGCAATTTTTTCATCCCTGAGTGAGACTCCTAAATCTGCAAGACGGCTGTTCTTGAGAACCCTCTTCCCTCGCGCTGTAAGGTCATGTTCCAAACGTATGCGTACCGCGTCTTTTTCTTAGAATTCGTACTCGATCGAAGAATCATGGGTAGCGGAATTACGCGCTGGAACATTCGCGCAATGCCCATCTTTACGTCTTCATACTAGACAAGAAAAATATGCGAGTACTGTGCATTGAAAATCTTGTTTTTATTGCGTGCGCACACTGTATACAGCTATTTCAAAAAACGTTGGTGAAGTTTTTGTCTCATGTTGCTTACTAAGTTTGAAATATATATTATATTATGGGAGAAATGATGCCTTAAAAACACACAGGAAAAGTTTAGGAATTCGAAAATTCCATATCGTACGTTGTGACTTTTCTCTTGGATTGTATTCACATCGCCCACAGTGCAGTTCGAGCTTGGTATGCCACAGGCAACAAAACCTTCACTAAACAGTTTTTGAAAATAGCTGTAGTAGGTAGCAAGGGTACTTACCTGTAAGGGTCGTTAGGGCATGATCCCTGGACACATGGGACAATACAGTACTGGACTACAGTGCATGGGCCATGACCATCGAAACTGGAATCTCCTGGGGTATTAAGCCAACCTTTATTTAAAAAAACAAAAAACAAATAGGCATTATTACCTGCTTACTAACTAGAACCTAAAGAGTTTCATATATAGTATAAACCTACTAATGGTAAATCACAAATCCTGTATTGGCTTGGTATTGATTACTTGAGCGCTTTCATAGCGGCTATTCATAGTTTTTGCACTAGTGATTTGTGTTCTTATATATAATTTTCTCGGTTATTTATTCATAATCTTTGTATTTTGTGATATTATTCTGTAGGTGATTGTTGTAAAATATAAGAAGTGTATAGAATATCAAACTTGCCTTTGTCACAGATGCAATGTTTCTTTCCGCCACTAATCTGACATAACCCGTGTACACAGCCATCACATTTCATGACAGAACATTGCGGTCCCGTATAACCTGGCTTACACTCGCAAGTGTCTGGTCCTTCATAGCAAGTACCACCCACAGACGAACAGTTGTTACAAGGGCCGACATACTTGCTACAGTTTGCTCCTATCCAGTTTGTTTCGCATTCACAGACTGCTGGATTTGTGGTGCACCGTCCGTGTTCGCATGGGACACTACATCCAGCGATGGTCTCACAATGCTCTCCTTTAAAATAGTAATGACAATTTCAGTGAGCTTTTAGAGTTTAGTCAAGAGAATATGAACTAAGAGAAGGAATCTCCGCATCATGTAAGCACTCTTTGATGCTGTTATTAGAATCAATCATATGATCGTTTGCTTTTCTTCACGCGCATACTGCGCGCGCTCTATCCTGTTTGCTCATGTTTTCATACATTTTTCAAGAAAAACCAAACTATGGCAAATGTGAATCTAAAAATAGCAGCAAACGGTGCCCATGATGGTCACAAGCTATATGAATATCAGAGATTCCTTTTCTTAGTTCATTTTCTCTTTATTTGGTTTTACACCATTCACTAATGTCTTTCGTATGCGCAAATCAGTTTTAAAGGCCTTGTATTGTACCTGTGTAATATGGTGGACACACACAGTGATGGACATCAACGCAATAACCACCATTCAAACATGTCCAGCCATCAGCACAAATCATCCTGAAAGATAATCATCATAATTTTAAAATGCATTCAAACCACAAGAAAAAATGCGCAATGAACAAAACGTGCAGTTCAGTGAGTTGCGCAAAACATTTTAAAACTGCAATGCCCTCTGCCATTTACAACCAGGAAACATCATTGCGCGCGCAATGGTAATAAATAATAAATAATGGGATTGACAGTGGGTCTTCTTCAACTGGTTTCCATCTGAAATTTAGAAGACAAAAACCGGAGAACCTGAAAAACCTAGTKGTATTTGCTCAATAATTTTGCGCAACAAATAACTAGCACGATATTTTGTCCGTCGGTTACATTGCACCTTTTAAAGATAAATTGGTCAAGTGCGGAATGATTGCCTTATGCAATATTTCAGTACCATAAGCTATGCGATTAGTTTTTCTCACATTACGCGTTTTCCATTTTGCGTTTCCGCTTACACACAACCTGCATGCTATAATCTTGTCTATGGTGATTCTCAAGCGGCTTTATAATTCGAGCATGCATCGCAATTGGCTGACGTACGGTTTCGTTCTTTATGATTAATCCATTACCTAGAGTCTCGCATTGAATCCTGGATTTTGATTGGTTCATTATTGAAGACATTGTACATCACGTAAGTGATTTTACATTGCCATGTACTATCGTTACCCTCATATGACTTTCTTATTGCTTCGCGAATGGATGGCGCGCGCGCTCGGTGCCTTGATTGGTTCGTTTCAGACATTTGAGAGTCACGGCATCGTGCGTCACGCAAGTAATCTAAATGTTACCTGTCACAACCAGTAGCTGGAGACATGAAGTCTTCATAACACTTGCATATCTTGGGGTCATCAGGGCACGCGCCGAACACGCACTTTATTGACGAGTCACACAATGAACGGTCACACAAGTCTCCAACCCATCCAGGGTCACACTCGCATTTAAACCTGTCAGTCAAAAATGTAGAAGAAATAGATCAGTAGGGCTCAGGTCAAACGTCGAACTTTACATGAACCGTTATTATGATTGCCCTTCTCTTTTTTTTCCTGATGCTATAGAGATTTTAAGTCGTGACGTATTTCCGGGTCCAACTGCTTACAAAATTAAAACTGCTAAATTGGAATGAAAAATGTTCTCAATAAATAATTTAACCCACACCTGATTCAATTAGAACTTTGGACGACAAATCCTGTCACTAGAAAAAGTAAGAAAAAATCTTTATAGAACTGCTTTTTGTTTTGGACCCGGAAGTTTGGACCCATTTTTCCATRTGATTGATGTCACACTTAGAAGCTCTATAAATTTACACTGTTCCAATGCTCTGATACGATCAACTTTCAATAATACATGATAATATATATCGAACTTGTCCCCCACCCCGGCCCTTGAGACAAAACCACAAATACGCCGCGTTTGTTATCTGAGGTATTACCTTGCTGTAACACATTTTCCATGTTTACATGGTAACCAGGGATAACACGAGTCATTGGTTGGCTTATCACAGTTTTGTCCAATCCATCCTGTTTGACATCTTTGACATGTCCTACCATCAGCTCCACATATTCCATGCAGACATGTAGAGTTAGCGTTTGTACACTTGATACTTGTGCAACAGTCCCCAGTGTAGGATCCATACCGGCTCTCCCACTGTTTTTGGTAATTATCAGAGTAGCATTTGCAGGTCTGGGTCGCTGGATCCCAGTCTCCATGGCCGAAGCACTCTGTTTCCTGTGGGCACGGTCCCGCCATGGATCTTGACGCGGAAGCAATCGTGAGCACAAGCAATGCTAGTATATGGTTTTCCATCATCGTAACAATGAATTTTTATCTATGAAGAACGAACTTAAAAGAAGAAAAAGAAAAGAAATGAAATGGTTTATTTCCCCTGACTGCATGCAATGATAGAGAAAAAATATAAATTTGCGGGTCAGTTTTTTGTTTTGTTTTTGTTTTTGTTTTAATTGTTGCTGGGAAAAGATTCGACTGCCAACCTAGATAACGTGTACGAGTTTTTCCATTTCAACATTATCTACGAATGAAGAACGAACGAAAGAAAAAAAAATAGATGTCACAGGTCGATTTCTCTTGAATGCATTAATAGAATGTAGGCTTATCACAAACTGTTCGGAATTCTGTTGCACGATTAAAAGATTAATGTTTAATGTAGACAACTGTGCGACGAAAATATCGAAGATGCTAAAATGTAGAAAGCATGTAGTTTTTTTTTTTTTTTTTTTTTTTTTTATCGTTAGTAAATTAAGAACTAGAACTTTGGCCGTTCGCATTCCATGAATCACACGCGGGGATTTCCCCCGATGACAAAGCGGAATTCAGCATTTCTTCGTACTGAAATGGTTACGCCGAAATCTTTTTCAAGTTCAAAATATGAATTCTTTTCAAAAAACATGCACTTGAACTTAAAAGTAAACGTTTTTGTGGTTAGAGCTTTTCGTTTTCGTTTTTTTCCTGTCTCGATCAGATAAGTTTTAACATGACATCGGTACGTTCTATGCAGTGTTTGCATTAGTGAAATTTTCATGGGGTGTGGAGTACCGATTCTTAATTTGTCAAGGAGCCAAAAAATGCAACGTCTGAAATCTTTGACCTCGAATAGCAGTGGCCTAGCAAACTGAAAACGTTTCAATGGAGCATTTGCTATTTGTTCATAACTAAACACAGAGAGAGCTTACCTTATAAGTTCGGTATGCAGCTAGCAGGCGATCTCGATGAAACGATCCGCTGTACTAAAGACTAAAGCTTTTTACCCTTTTCTATAGCTGTTTAAGGCATGCAAGCTCATGATATACTCGTGATTTCAATTACTGTCTATGTTCCAAAAAATCAGCCAATCGATATCATTTGCTTTGAATGCTCAGTYGAGCCATCAATTTCCGGGAAAAACCCCTTTAAACCTCGTGTGGCTGAGTCAACCAATTGCTCAGAAAAAATGACGTATGTAACCCTGAAATCATCATTACACCCTGAGTTTCTAAGAAAAAAGCCAGCTTTTAGAAATTATTGGATTAAAATATGTGTCTACATTCAGAAGCTAGTAAATGGTTTGCCGATTATAAAACATTGCGATAAAATAGTAATCATTAACATAGTAAAAAACTAAAAACTCAGATCAGTAACTTTATGATGTTTCGACCTAGGTAAGTCATTATCAAAAATGTTATTGAATTGTACTATTTTATCGCAATCTTTTATTATATATTAATATGTCAATATTATAAATTATAAGATAATTGAGAGCTTCAGCCTCATTAGACGAAAAGCTTTTACTTTCATCCCATGTTTCTCTTTCATTTTCGAGTTGAAGAATTGGAGGGGAGGCATGAGGCACTGATTTTAATCAATGGTAAATTTTAAGGGTAGAGTCGCTAGGGCAATACTTCCCCCTCCCCCTCCTGCACCAAACACACCATTTCCCCCCCCCCCCCCCCTTCGCCACAACACACACATTTAAACACACGCACAACAAACATTTGAAATACACAAAAACAATAATTGACCTATATCCTTTTTTAGTATTTTTAATAATTGTTTGTTCTAGAGTTTTGTTAGTTTTCTCACTTCCGCCAGACCCAGTCTTCCTGGTCCTCGAACTTCCCATGATGCACATCAGTCTTGTTCCTTCGCCTGCACGTGGAACACAAGACAAGATGGAGTGAAGCAGTTTCAGTGCTGAAATTTTGGCAATTTTAAACCGGTAAGTTGGCTTTATACGCTACTTTATTCGTTGCTTACGATACCTAAACCTTTCCTTCGTATATTACTCTGTAATATGAAGTGTTTTCGTTGGTTTTGAGTCGAATATCGGAGCATTTTGAATTTGGTTTCACACCCGTTTACGCTCGTACATTTGATTTGGTCTCGACTTCCAGTTTTCCTTACGTTCGTTTTAAGAGCAAGCTGACATCTTAGAAATTCTTCAAAGCTATTTTCCAACTATGAAGGAAAAGAAAATTTTGAATTTTTAACCAAAAGTTGAGGTGACATGAAAATTTTTGAATATTTGCATGTCTTTATAGTTTTATGAAATTTTGTTTATTTAGGCTTAATTATCTATACTATTTGATAGATAAAGATTATTTTCGAAATTCATGCAAAGTTATGCAAAATTTAGAGCTTTTTAAATCACTTTTTTTAGTTTTTTTTATCCCAAGGGTAGGGTAGGTTAGGTGATGAAATTGCTTGAACATGCGGACAGGGGGGGTCCCCTAGGAAATTGCCACTTTAATCTTTTTTTTCTTTTTTTTATTAATAGCCAAGAARTAAATTGCAGCCATGATCTAAACCAAGTCCTATCAGCAAAGAAGACCAGCAGAATCCACTTAATCTAATTAACTATTAAACCTTAAGGTAGTAATAATATTAATGTATCATCTACATACAAYTGAATGTTGTATGTAGATATTATTCACCACTTTAAGACCTATTAAATATCAAAGTATTAGAAATTAAAGGTTGTGGAATCTTTTTATTACTAATAAAAAGTGRCCACATCACTTTAATTTTATTGAATGCTGATAAATTATGCACATATCACCTGGACGAGATGACTGGCTGGCCTGGAATCAACTCTTCATTACTAACATTTATTTTTTTGCTGTTATTGAACATTTGATGAATTCAATTGATATRAATTATGTATGCATGTGACAAAGCTTTTTTCTAAATTTTGTACAGTTTAAAAATGCTCTAAAAGGTTTTCTGCTCTCGTTTTTCAATACATTTTCAGGTAATTTAATTATTTCATTCATTGATACGTCATCCGAAATTTATAGAACTGCACTTGAGAATTTGACTGATTGATTACAAATTATCATTATGTAAAAAAAAAATCGGATTAATTCATTACAAATTATTATTTTCTTAAAATTTATCATTTTTGGTTGATGTGCAGAATTCAGAAAAAATCTTTTTCACCATGAATTGCTCTTTTTTGAAATGCATTGATTGATTCCATTGATATCATTTTCTTGTTTGGTTCAGTAGACTTTCACTTCATTGGGGTCCAAAATTAAGTTTATTTTTGTTTCCAAGCAATATTGGTTCAATGAACATGCATAAATTATTCATTTATCTCTTCCCTCACAATACAAATACTAAAATGTTTTTTCAAAGATGTTTGGAGCATTAAAGTTAGAGTCTACTGCAGCTTTGATATTATAATTTTTGTTGCTTTGATAATGTTTTTAATCATTATGATTATTATGATTCAAATCCCTGGTATAATGTTGTACATGGTTCTGGATATAAAGTAAGTACAGTGCATAGTTKATCAGCATTCAAAGCCATTAGTTATCTTTCTCTGATGTCCTTCATGTGTAAGCAAACCAAATTTTAACTTTATCAAACCATAAAAAATACTTTGGTTTTATTTTAGTTGATGAATAATCTACTCAAAGGTTGAGTCGAAAAAAAGCTCATTTTAAAAGCTTGGTTTTAAATTTATGATTTTTTACTTTCAATTTTCAATTTACATTCAAATCTTTTGTCTAATTTCCAATTTTTATGGAGGCTGGAAAGTGTTTTGTGTCTTTACCAATGATCAAAATTATGAACTAAAAAAAAATTAATTTGGCTATAAACCAAAGATCACAATGAACATGGTAATTTTTTTTAAAAACCGGAATATTTAAAC